GATAGCCAAGAGGGAGCGGCGGACCGTCCGCTGGACTCAGTAACACAGAGGCCTTGGTGACTGCGAGGAGAGCCGCCCGCAGGGCTGGGAGCGGGTGGGAGCCTGACCGGAGCGGTCCAGGACAGCAGCAGGACACCTTCATCAGGGAGCTGTTCCAGGAAAGAGCTAAACAGGGTCAAGAGAAGATTTTTCTTTTCCCTTTTTGTGATGGGAGGAACGACAGCCTGTTTGTGTAATGATTACATCCAGGCCGGGCGAATGACAGCTAACTCCCACTGGAAGCCTGTTTCTGTAAATTGATTTTTATGGGACACAGCCGTGCTTTTCACCCACGACGGTGGAGTTACGTGGTTGTGACAGAGATCATATGGCGCACACAGTGTGAAATATTTAGTAGCTGGCCCTTTATGGAAAACGCGTGCTGACCCCTGCAGTAAGTGATCCAGGCCAGAGGAGGAGTTGGTGATGCAGGTGGGAGGGGGGGCCTTGCTGGCGTGACATCCTCGCGCAGGTCCTCCATACCTGGAAGCGCAGGTGGGGCATGCGGGAGGAGAGAGTGTGCAGGCAGAGACGCAGATGGGCGGGTATGCGTGGTGGCGAGAGCCTCTGGAAAGCCTCTTCTGCCAGCTTCTGTTTCCTCAGGGTCATCAGGTGATAGTGACGTTGGGGGTGTGGGGTGGGGGTTGGGGAGAGAGCACGGGTGAGAACTGGGCTTTCATCTGAGATAATGATCGTGAATTTGAGGGAGGTAGTGTGCTTTCTCTGGCGTCATTCCTCGACTTGGGTGCCCTCGTGGGAGGTGGAGTCGCTGGATCTACCAGGTTTGTGGCTTAGCCGAGAGAATGTTCCGAAGGGGGAGGGCATCAGGGCAGCTGAGGGTGCAGCCAGGGGGCGGTTATGATCGCTGACCACAGCATTTGAGCTGGGCCGGGAGGGAAGTGAAAGATGGCCCTCGAGGGATATTAAAAAGTGGAAGGACCGGTGGATTGAAGGTCCCGCGGGCTGGAGGACCCCTCGGGTGGGGTGTTAGAAGGTGAGCAGCAGACGAAGGTCCATGGGTGGGGTCGAAGCCCAGACTCTGGAAAGGTTGTAGTGATCTTGGAATTAAATACTTTTCTAAAATAAACACTGGGTGGGTCAAGAAAACACACCATACCCTGAATTAAGCCAGTTTCCCACCTCTGTGCCCCTGGGGCCCTTGCCCCTCAGATGTCTCCTTCCCCTCCTGATGTATGCCACTGGCTCCCGGATCCACCTTCCTCACCCAGGCCTTTCCTGAGCACCAGAGCCACACGTGCCTCTGCCCACCTGGACCTTCCACTAATTCAGCTTGTCCCCAACGAAACTCATCATCTGCCCACAAGCCTACTCTTGCCCCTGTCCTGTCTCCTCGGCTGCCCGCAGCAGAGCCTGGGCCCTGCCCCACACCAAGTCTGTCCTGTGCCCTGTCCATTCCTGTCCTGCATGTCCCTTCCCCTTGTCATGCTGCCGTGCAAAAGCCCAGGCCTCCAGCATCTCTGGGTCGGATGGATGACAGTGACAGCCTCAGGAGGAACCTCAGCCTGCACCCTTCTCGCTGCCTGGTCTTTTCTCAGCACGCTGCTGGAGTGCCCTTCTATAAGCCAGATTTGACCACGTGCCTCCTCTGCTTCAGATCCTCGCACGGCCCCTCAGTGCTAGACACCTTACCTGGCACACAGGACCCCGTCTCCCACTCAGCACTCAAAGTCTGCAGTCACCTGGACACATCTCAACACGCTTCTCCCACACGAGGCTCAAACTCCGATGTTGACGGGGACTGTGTCTTGTTCTCATTTTGCACAGTCTCACAATTAGTAGGAGCTCCAGGTATATTGAATTGATTGAACGAAAGTACTGAACTTGAAGGTGGAGAACCCGGAAATGAAGCCCTCTGTGGCTCACTTGTTCAAGGTAGTTCCCTTTCTCTCTCTGAGTCTCAGTTTCCTTGATTATAAAATGGGCTGATTTCCGGCCTATTCCACAGGATGATGGTGAGGGTCAGGTGACAGCTCAGGAAGGTCACTTCCAGGTCTGTCTCAGGTCAGGTTCCCAAGGAAACAGGCTCTGAGGTGGAGGTTTGTGAGTAGGAGTCTTGCTAGGGTCAACGCTGGAGCGGTGAGGGAAGCAGGGTCAGGCAGAGGGAGGAGGTGAGCTGCCGTGTAGTTGGGACCGAGGCCTCAGCTGGTCCTCAGGGGCTCCGCAGACGGGACAGCCCTCAGAGTCATCCTGAGTTGAGGCAAAGGGGCTGGTGTCGGTACCTGTGTCTCTGAGTAACTGGATACACGTTGCCTGGGACAGTGAGTGGACCCCGTCAGCAGCTCCCTTCAGCAGAGAGCAGTTCCTGGAGAAGGACCAGGCCATCAGCAGCCAACACACTGAGCGGCTAAGGACGAGTGGCCTGATCCTGACAGGTGTCCTGGATGGCACCGCAGCACCCACACTGGCCCTGGAGTTTACGGCTGTCAATAAGCCACGGAAACATCAGGGGCCCGAGTCGTTCTAAATTCACAGTCTGCCAGTGCCCTCATGATCTGCCCTCCTACCACACTCCTGTCCCGCCCTCCTCCCCTGCGTCACTCCAGCCACACGGGCCCCTTTCCTCCTCCTCCAACACTCCACGCACAGGCCTGTCTCGGGGCCTTCGCCTCTGCTGTTCCCTCCGCCTGGGACACACTGAGCTCATTTCCTTTCTTCCGCCAGCTCTCTGCTCAAACGTCCCCTCCGCAAAGAGACCTTCCCTGACCCCTGGTGTAAAATGCCACCTTCCATCACTCAGTCCCCTTACGCTGCTTGCTTTTCTCTGCAGCCCTGTGCACTGCCTGACTTAGGCATTCACTTGTTTCTCTGTTGGTTGTCTGTCTACTCCCATAGAAGGTGACCCTCAGGAGGGCAAGGCACCTGTCTGTCTTGTGCTGCATTTTCTCTCTCCAGGGCCCAACTTGTGCTTGGCATCTTGCTGTTGTTGAATGCAACCTGTAGCCCAAATGGTGCCAACTCAGCTGGCCTTGGCTTGTCAGGCGTTGACTGACTCTGCCATTTAGCACACTTGTGTCACACGTCCACTGTGTGCCTGGAGCCCACAGGGTATCGGTGGGAAGGGATGTAGAGTAGAGATGTGTGGTCTCCCACTGGGAGGTGGTCCTGGTGCACGGGCCCCGAGCTGGGCATCCCTGGCCTTCCAGCAGACTCCATCCAGGGAGCTCATTTGTTTGCTGAGTGGCCCTTCTAGGCCCACCTGGAGCCTGGCCTCAGCATCCATCCACTGAAGATTTGTGTGCCAGCCTCCCCTATCGAGTGAGGGGCTCCCCTTTGGGACATTCCTTCCTTCCTCCCCTGTGCCTGCTTTGACCTTCCACCCGATTCTGCCCTCAGAGCCCCCCCACCCACGTCTACTGATATACTCCCTCTCCAGGGGCATTTGTACACACCTTTCTCCAGTGGGATAGAGTGGACTTTGCATCAAAAGACCTGAGTTCTCATCCTAGACCCACCACATACTAGCTGTGTGACCTTCAGCACATCACTCAGCCTCTCTGAGCCTCTGTTTCTTTAAGTAGAAAATGAGATCACTATTACACCAACCTTAGAGTTGGATTGTGAAGAATGATGTGATTCTCTGTATAAAAGCGCCCAGCTTAGTGCCAGTACGTAGTGCGGGTTTGATGGGGGTCCTTGTGGAGCCTTTTTGGCCTTCCCTCCCCACCACCAAACCAGAGGTGACACCAAATCCTATGACACCTCCCATGCAACTTTCTCTGCCTCTTTCGCCGCCCATCCCGAGTGCAGGATTACACGCTAGTGAGGAGATGAATCCTGGAGGAATGCTCCTGAGGGGCCAGCTGGCCTCCTCACGGGGTCACACGTCAGGGACTGCAGTGCACTGGACACAGTCAGCCACTGCCAGCCGTGGGACGGGACCTGTGGCTAGATCTTCCAGTTTTTCAAGAGAAATTAGAAATGCAGATTTGCGTGTGAAATCAGCCACTTCAAAATACTGGCAGCAAATTCAAGGGGAAAAACATCACCATGGGAACAAAATAAAATATATCTAAAGGCCAATGTGGTCCTGGGGCTACCAGCTTCTCACTGTCGCGCTGGCAGCAGAGAGTGTGGGTTCAAATCATGGCTCCGTGCCCTCTTCTGGCCCTGCCCTCGGCCGGGGTCAGCCTCCTCTCTGGCCACAGGCCCCTTACCTGAAACATGAGTGTAACAACAGCTGAGGTTACTGTGTACCCCGGGGCGTCCAGCCCCTTTCTTTCTAGCATCAACCTTTTCCATCCTCTTGGTAACCCAGTGAGGTAGGGATTTATATCAGCTCGGGTCCCAGACCTGCGTGTGAACCCGGGCAGTGTGGCCCCAGAGGCTTCTCAGTTAAGTCTGTGTGCCTGTGGCCGGGGCAGTTTTGGGGATTGAGCTCTTGGAGGGCAGGAGGTGTCTCAGTCTACTTGTTGCCACTTCTGCAGAGTCCTCTGGATTGGCTGAGTGATTTGCAAGCTGGTGAGGAAGAGGTTTGGTGGAGGGGCCGAGGGCCTGCCCAGCCCCCTACTCCCCGCCTGCCCAGGGCTGCCTGTGCCTGGCTCTGTGAGAGACACCAGAACAGAAGCCACAGTCCCTGCCTCTGGGGTCCATCAGAGCCCAGACCCAGACAGGAAACAATTAGCAGAGAGCCGCGAGAAGCAGGTTGCTGTGCCATGAGTGTGGGGTGCGGGAGCCCCCAGCTGGTTTATAGGCTCTGTGGTTGGGGTTGATTTCTTCAAGAGCCCTGGGAAGACATCAGACACTGAGATTACCTAGACGAGACCTTCTCCGTCTGCTTCTTATTATCCAGATGCCCAGTGGCCAGTCTTTGATGCAGGAACAGTCCTCCTGCCAGCCCCCCAGCACCCCTTCTCCCCCTGCCTCCCGCCAGCCCACAGACGCTTTCCAGGACTTGGTGGTTAAGGCTCCCGGTGACTCCTCTTCTCTCTCTCCTTGTGCAGAAATGGAAGCTCCACTCTCGGAGGCGCCGGGAGGCCCCGAAGACGTCTCCAGGGTGTCACTGCCCGCCAGGTAAGGAGCCCTGCGAATGGTGACTAGAATGGGGACACGCCAGAGGCTCTGTCAGCAGTTCTGCTCCAGCCACACCCTGCTCAGAGCACCACTTTTCGTTTGAAAGATGGGAATGATGATATCTGTGATGGTCACTTTCTGTCTACCCAGTGACCAGCCCACCCATCCCCCTCATAATCCATTCATTCCAGCATTCATTCGTTCATAAACTCTTCTGTGGGCCTGACACGGTGCACACCAGGGTGTGCCATCTGATGAGATCATGAAGCGCGGTGCAGAGTCAAAGGGAAGTTAAACCCAGGAGGGCAGAGACCTGGCTCATCGTGTTCACTATTGTGCCTTCCACTCCTGACACATAGTAGGTGTACACAAGTGTTTCTTACCCGGATGGTGAATTACCCCAGAACTGGAAAACCTTGCCGGCCCTAGCTGGGTGGCTTAGGGTGTTGCATGTCCACTGTGTGGTAACCAGGCTAGGCGCACGCACACACTCGCCTGCGAGCTAACGGCTGCAAGGTGATGTGGTGGAAAAGGTCGGCCAGTCTCATCTGGATTCAGATTCCGCCATTGCTATTTGCTCGCCCCGTGGGGGCAGATCACCACCGAGGACGCCTGTTCTAGTGCCATCTGTGCTCCTCACTGGGTCTGCTCATCTCGTCACAGTCACGTGCTGACTTCCTGCACCGTGCAGGGCATTGTCCACAATTAATAGTAATGAGAAGTCATGGTTCAGGAGGACTTTTCTAGGTTGCTGACCATTGTTATTAGGCTGTGAGAATGACAGATGAGCCAGTTTCACGGTTCCCATGAGAAACTGGAATGGGCTGGACTCCTTGGGGGTGAGGAAGGACGCTCCCAGAAAGGTTTAGGGGAGACAAAGTAACAGGGGTAATCACAGAGGCTTTGCCCTGCTCTCGCCCTCTGCCAGCTCACAGCGTGGCCCCTCGATACCTGCGGTGGGCAGGTGGCATGGGCAGGTCACTCCCTGGGCTCTCTGCAGGCCCTCTACTGGACACAGGAGCCGAGGGTCCCTAATAGCCCTCACTCAGGGTCCCCAAGCCTGAGAGGAGAGGCCAGCAGATGTTGAGCATATGGGAAATGGAGGGACCGCATTCTCCGAAGAGTGAGTGGGCTGAGGTGGGAGTCACAGTTCAGGGGTGCTGCCACGGGAGACGTTGAGACCGTGACGGGATTCAGCTGGCCCCAGTCAGAAGAGGGTCATCCAGGTTAATTAAAAGGGTGTCCAGGAACCCTGGGAAGCACCCTCCCTCCCTCGGAGACCAGGAGATTGAGCCCAGGGATCTGGGAAAGCCATTGGGAAAAGAATGCTAAGATTAATGAGATGAGATGAAGGCGAGGGTGGGGTGATGGGGCCTGGGCAGAGCAACTATAGCATCAGGATTTTGAGGGCAGATTTCAGATAATCGTGTCTGTTGTCCCCATAACTCTTGGTCAGTTGCCGTTGTTTTTTGCTCAAAGTGTAGAATGCTGGTGAAGGGCAGGAGATTTGGAACCACGGAAATACAGGTTTGAATCCCAGTTCCGACATTTACCGGCTGTGTGACCTTCAGAGTTCTTTAACCTCTCTCTGCCTCAGTTGCCTTGTCTGAAAAATGGGGATAATACCCACCTTGCAGAGACATGGTGGAGAGTCAGTGAGATAATTTTGGAAAGTTCTTAGCACGTTTCCTGATTCCCAGTAAGCATTATTGCTATTTTTTTTCCCTCAGTTCCTCTTGCACTTTAAAAATGCCAGAAATCCTTGTCAAACTCCATGTCCTGGTGTTGGGGGCAATGTGGGCTGCTCATTTATGGCAAGACAGAGGATGGCCCTTCTCCCCTCCTGCCTGGTTGGGTGTCACATGCCCTGCCCAGCATCATCATGGGTGCCTCGCCAACAGGTATCAGTTTCGTGCTTGGGAGAGTCTGGCTCAGGTGGTCCTGGAGGCTGGGGGCTGGGACAGGATGGGGCAGGAGGGAGGAAGGGTTTGGAGGAGTGTTTCAGCACCTCTCACCCCTGGGAGTCTGTGTGGGACCAGGGCTCTTGGATGATGAGGAGGAAGCTGTGCAGCAGCATGAACGGCTCAGGAGTGGTGGAGAGGAGGGGTGCAGTTGGAGAAGGAAGGACTGGATGCGGGTCGTCTGTGGGTGGGACCGCCAGTAGGGACTGATGTGGCCGGGAGACGGGAGCAGAGAGAGTAGGAGCTCCTGGGAGCAACGTCCCAGATGTTAGAGAATTCCCCCAAGGGCAGTTTGGCCCGAAGTATAGATCAGAGCCAGGTGGGTAAAACCAGGAGAATTTAAAGAGAAGACCCCAAATTGAGGCAAATTGGAAGGAGACTAAGATGCTCTCCCAGCTTTTTGGAGAGTCAGCAGAAAAGGGCTGGAAGGGCTGCACGGGGCGTCTCAGACAACGGAACCATGCAGTAGAATGCGTCTGCTGGGAGGGCTGGGTCCTGCTGGGTCCCTGGACCCGCCCCCTCTGCCCAGCCTGAGGCTTCCCACCCTGTAGTAAAGTTATGGCCTTCACACTGAAGCCTGCTGGCCGTGTGCCTGCCAACCTGCTGTGAGTAACAGCAGTGACTGCCCCTATGTGTACCCTCTACGTGCCAGGCACAGCCCTGAGCACTTCGTATGGATGGGTGACCTTCCCCAGAGCCCTTGAGACGGGCAGAGTGGAGCTCTGACATTCTGCAATATTTGCAAATCTCCATACTCATAAGTAAAATACCACTCTCATTCTTGCACCTAAGTGATGCATCTTAGGTTATTTCCTTAGAGTCAGAGTTTATAAACCACTTTATGAACCGCTCTAAGGCTGCTAATACTCGCAGGAGGACTTGACAGTTGTAAGGTGCTACAGACAAAGTCAAAGCATCATTCACTTTTGTCTTGCCAGAATCTAATGTTGTGCCCCATACGTGGTAGATGCTCAATGAATGCTCAATCAATTTTCGTCAATTGGATTCTTTCTCATGTTCTCCATCTGCCCTCTGTTGGTTTCTGACCCCTCCCCGCCTCCACATACCGCACGTCCCACCCCCTGCCCTGCCCCAAGACTGCTCTGAGTCTTGCCTGATGCTGAAATCACCACTGTTGGGACACAGCAAACATCACACACTCTTCCTGCCCACTGTGGCCACTGGGATCGGAGCATACAGCCCCAAACCCATGCCTGCCTCTAGTTTGCCTCTGCGGCTGGCTGGGCTGAGGCCGGAGTCCTGTGGTGGGTGTGTCCTTCCTTGTGGCGGCCCTGGGCCCCTGGGCGGCATCCAGAGGGCTTGGGACACATAATCATGGGTAGAAAACCTACCTCCCTCCCTTCCTACTCTGACCTCGCCAGCATCCTCCCAGGACCCTCCCTGTCCCAAAATAGCCATCTACTGGCTGAGATCTGGCTGCATCCTGCTTCTGGGCTACATGCACTGTTTGCCAGGGCAGTGAGGGGCCTGCAGGCCTGGGACGGGATGCCAAAGGTCAGGCCCCAGTAGGAGGGTCACAGTGGCCAGGAGTTCAGAGGAATAGGTGTGGGCTGTGTGCAAAGCATGTGGCCTGGTGCAACGGGAGAAGGGGCTCGGGAACAGATATACAGACCGTGGGACTTCCTAGGACACTTGAGAAGAATACAAAGATCAGGGAAATTCTCCCACTCTTTGTCCCTGTTCTTAGTAACTAATGAGGAGCAGGACAATATAGGCTCCAGCCGGCAAGGAAGCAGCTACTTCAGGCCCGCCATGCTGGGGCTGGGTGGGGCTGGCAGTGTGAGGGGTGGTGTGTGGTTGAGCACACACAGGGAGCCATGGCCAGCTGGGCTGCTGGAGCAGGTCTCTTGCTATCTGGGCCTCATCTCGAAGGAGACGAGTAGGCCGGATGATGTATTGGCCACTAGGCCAAGAGGTCTGGACTACAGTAGTCGGGGCGAGGGGCAATATGATCAGGCTTGTGCATTAGCACTATAGCCAGCTCTGCTACAGAGGATGGGCGAAGGGGAAAGAAGTTGCCTTCAGCCTGGCTAGCGAGAGAGGCCACGGCCATCCTCTAGTTTACAGGGTGCTAATAAGAGATGTGTACAAAGTGCTGGGGCTCCCAGAGGTGCTTGGGACTCCAAGAAAACTTCACTGAGGGGGTGGCACTGGAGGTTGGTTGTAAGGAACAAAGGAGTAGGTGGGAGAGCATATCATTAGGATATAGACTCCGCTGCCACCGTAACAACAGACCCCCAAATACAGGGACTCCAACAAAGTAGAGGGGGAGGGCTCTTCCTTAGCAGGCCAGGGGGCACTGGTCCAGGGCTGGGAGGGTGGCCTTGCCATCTTCATCATGTGGCTTCCATCTCCGGGCCCCTGGCAGCTGCTTAATTCTCACCATCCCTCGGCCAGTGTGAAAGGGGAAGAGGCCAAAGGGAGTATGTGCCCAAACCCTTAGGAGCAAAACTTGAAGAAAAAAACCTGAGCTGCATCACCTCTGCTCAGGTCCCATTGGCCAGCACTGAGTCACGTGTTAACCCTGGGTCCAAGGGAGGCCAGGCAGCGCTTTGGGCCAGGCAGCTGTACACCCAGATGCAACTCTATTACTGTGGGAGGTGGAGGAACAGATGCTGAGGAACAACCAGCAGTCTGCACAGAGGCCTCTCCAGGCTGAGGCGCTGGCACAGACACAGGCTCTGAGAGGGAGAAAAAGGCAGGGATGTTTGGGAATGGCAAGCAGTTGAAGGAAGCTGGAGCATTGAAGCAGCTATGGGAAATAAGGGTGGAAAAAGGTAGCCAAGGAGGAGGCTGAGGAGTTCCAGCTCTCTTTGTTCAACAGGACAGAAATGGTTTCATCCTGAGGGTGATTGATTGGTAATGGCTGCCTGGAGGGCTGTGCTGAATCAGATTCTGAGATTCCATCCAGGCTCAGCAGAATGGCAGTTGCTTAATGATGTCTGCCGTGGGTGTAGGAGATTGGGCAGTAACACTTGTGCCCTGGCTTTGTTACCCCACGGGAGATGTGGCCTCAGA